CAGGAAATGGTCCAACCGGAGGGCCCTCTCCAGATACTGAAGATAGAGGGGCTTTGCCAGCTCACTGCAGCCGCCATCGTCCCCGGCACCCAACTCTGAGGCCATAGAACAAATCTGTCTTCATGCACAAGGGCCTCCAACTACACAGCTCGGGCCGCGACGGCGGCGGAGGGGGGGCGGGGTACCTTTACTTTTTATTTTGAGACAGGGTCTTGCTAATTTGCTCATATTGGTTTCTAACTTGCAATCCTCCTGCCTTATCCTCCCAGCAAAGACACTAGATTTTTGTCGTTAAATTAACCTATCTGGGTCTGGGATTGTGGCTCAGTGGTAGAGCGCTTGCCTAGCACAGGTGTGTCCCAGGTTTGATTTTCAGCACCATATAAAAATAAAGGCATTGTGTTGTGTCCATCTACAAAAAAGATTCTGTCTCTCTCTCTTAAAAAAATGGTCCTATCTGTGGTATTTTGTCATAGAATCCTTAGCAAACAAATGTAACCTCCAAGATCCATATTGAAGTCCTAGGTCCAGGTTAAAATACAGGAACACAGTCCAGGTCTCTATCCATGGTCCAAATGTAAACTCAGGTCCAAGATCCTATAGTCAAAGACTTGAGTTCTAAAGTTGAAATTCAATATTCAAATATATGTCCAAGACCCAGATCACATTTGAAGGACCAGATCAAGGACCAAGTGAAAGGTTCATTCACCTCTGCTTTCATTTTCTAGTTGAGGTCATTTCTAAGGAACTGGGCAAATTCAGGTCCAAAATACATGTGTAGACCTGAGGTCCTTGATTCGTGTCTAAGGTCAGTTCTAGTTGGACAAGTGAACTCTAGAGTCTAGATCTAAAGTACAGTTCCAAAGTTACATTCCTAGATGAGGTCCTAGTCCATGCAAAAAGTCTAGGTTAAATCCAGCACCTGGTCTGAGGTCATGCTTATGATCTTAATAATTGCCATTCTGACTGGAGTGAAATGGAATCTCAGTATAGTTTTAATGTGCATTTCTGTAATTGTTAGAGATGTTGAACATTTTTTCATATATTTTTTGACCATTTGTATTTCTTCCGTGAAGTGCCTGTTCAATTCTTTTGCCCATTTATTGACTGGGCTATTTTATTTTATTTTTTCTTTTTTGGTGTTAAGTTTTTGTGAGTTCTTTATAATATTTTAGAGAACTGAGGTGGAGGTGGCAAAATTTTTCTCTCATTCTATAGGCTCTTTATTCACGTTCTTGATTGTTTCCTTTGCTGTGAAGAAGCTGTTTAGTTTGATGCCATCTCATTTATTGATTCTTGATTTTACTTGTGTTTTAGAAGTCTTATTGAGGAAATTGGCTCCTTTTGAAACTTCTAAAGTTGTGAGCCAACCTGATGGATAGTTAGGCCTACTTTTCTTCTAGTAGGCCTAGAAGGGTCTCTAGTCTAATGCCTAGGTCCTTGATCCACTTTGAGTTAAGTTTTGTTCAAGGCAAGAGATAGGGGTTTAATTCCATTTTGCTTCTATGGATTTCCAGTTTCCCCAGCACCATTTGTTCAAGAGGCTATCTTTTCTCCAATGTATGTTTATGGCACCTTTGTCTAGTATGAGATAACTGTATTTATGTGGGTATGTCTCTGTGTTTTCTATTCTGTTCTGTTGGTCTTGTCTGTTTTTGTGCCAATACCATGGCACATACCATTTTTGTTATTATAGCTCTGCAGTATAATTTTAAGGTCTGACAATCACAAGATTCTTGAGTAAAATTGCAATTGTGTACATATCAGTGGCTTTGTAACAGAAATAGTTCATATACACAGAAGAAAAATTAAGGCAGTTTTCAGTTCAATAGAGGTTGACTCCAATCCATCTCAAAGATACTCAATAGTTGAAGGTATACCACAGAATAAATTTAAGATTATCCAATAAACAAGAGCCATACCACTGGTGTTTGAGATAAAATTTAAACATGTTAAAGTTTATTATTCAACAGGAGTTAGATGACTGTGCAAACTTTACCTCAACAGGAATATACTGAGATGTGCAAACAAATGTAAAATTCCACTAGTGGTTTGACTGAAGGCTGAACTTTTTTTTTTCTTACAGAACTTTCTGGTAACAACCATAAACCATAAGTACAGGTACAATGCAGTCAGTGATTTTTTATTTATTGTTAGAATGTAAAGGAATTGAGAAAGCATAGGTTTCATTCATTATATTTTTTAATAAGGAAGACTGCATTAACCTGAAAAAAATGATACCATATTATCACACACAAACATGCTTCAGAGGAGGAATATATTTGACAATATGATATTCTAAATGCTAAAGGAAAAGTGATCCTTTTCAACAATACATAGTTGATCCTTTTTCATCAATACATATTGTTGAAAGTTATTTAAGGAAAAACTTACTAAATCTTCACTACATAGATTTTGTAAATTTAGTTTTTGAATCACCATAATCCACTATCCATTATTAATATCTCTTTTATAGTACTATAACAAGCCAACAAACACTTAAATGCACTTCACATCAAGAGATGTAAAGTTTATTTTTTCCTCCTCAAACCTTCAGAATATTAGGGGTTATTTCAGCAACCAATATGGTCAGAACCTCTGAAGGTAAAAATTGAGTGCCTCATAGCGTAAAGGACTGTCTGCAGCACTGCATACCAGCTGGTAGTAAAGTGTCCCCTTCCAATGGCTTCTAGTAAGGCCAAAGTTTTAGGTTAGTATGAAAAAGTGCCACCTATGTTTTGGATTAGTGTCTGACAGGAGAAAATTAAGTTATTCTGTATATTATTATACTTAAAACCCAGCTCCAATCTTGAGTATTTATGATAATATCTCAACATACAAAAATAATATATAAATTTTTCTTYACTTTCTTGTAAACAGTTGTCAGTATACTGTTTTATCCCTTTATCATTGAAACATGCAAATCATACATACATGTATAAATACACAAAAGGGAGTAATTTACACTCATTCAAAAGTGAGCAACAAAATAGTTTCAGTATTCAAATTATACATAATGGATGCATCTTATATTCCTAGAAACAGCCACCATTCATCCTAATGTTCTTAGCTGCAATTGTAGAAATACTGAGTTTTACATTTTCCATGCCTTTGTATTTGTAACACTTATCATGTATGAAGATAAAGACTTGTTTATATAATCTCTTCTTTTCAGAATGAAGAATAAAGCAGCACTTAAAAAATATTGAAACAGTAGCAGCATCAGCAGGTGTTACCACTGCTAGATCAGGAGGAAGTTTTCCATTCTTACAATTTTTAAATTAAAAAGGAAAAACTCACCTAAATGAATATAATTATGTGTTCATTTCTTGGGCACATAACAGTGAGTCTGGCATGTTGAATGTGTCTTTGTAGTCCATATGTGTTGAGAGCCACAGCCGAAGAGGCCCCAGCAAACTTCCAGCTGCCAGCAAACTTCCAGCTGCCAGCTGATGATTGGCTCACAGTGGCCCCAGCAAACTTCTAGCTACCAACTGATTGGCTCCTCTG